CTTCTTTAATTAACTTATTGCTAGCTGCGTGTAAGTAGCATTTAAACTAATGAGAACTGCATTCATTAAGGACAGCTTGGGGACATGTCTGGGAATACATAATGTACAAACTCCAACCTTTATTATAGTTGCTGTAGCGAGCACAGAAGGTTCCCCTTTAAATCCCACTTCTACATATCCTACAATGCACACTTTCTATGTAGTTAAGTAACATATTTCTTCTCTTCTGTGAGTTCTAGTTTGTTGTTAATACCTTCCTTAATGTCAGTGAAAAGAGAAACCACTCCAGGCAGGTTTTACCACGTCTGGTATCTCTCAGGCCAAAATCTACCCCATTCAGCCCTCTAACAGGGCTCCAATTCTAATTCCCTCCTGGAGAATGTACTTTATAGAGGTAAACTGTCAGAGCATTTCCTTAGGATGTAAAACCATGGGTGGTTTGAAAGGATGAGCTTTCTGCAGCACACACTAGGTAATACTAAGTCAAAAAAAAAAAAAAAAAAAAAGGATTTTTTTCATCTGTATTTTAAACCATTTTACAGGCAACAGATTTATTTGCAGTCCTTCAGGCTCAGGCCATGTGTTTTAGGGGTAATGTTAACAAGGGCTGCAGAGAAAGAACATCCTGTGCAGCGTTTTTCTGGTGCTCACTCCCTGAATAATAAACATCAGTGTCTTCTGACACGATGCAGTCACTTTGATTAGGAAGAGGACTCATTCTAGCAGTGACACACTGAACCTACACATGACTTATCACTAGTGAGTTAAAATATTGATTCTTTTAGAAAATACTCTCATTATGACAAAACACAGTTCATTCAGTGAAATATCATGGGTGCATTTCATCAAATCCAGGTTGTTGAACAGGTAGCCCTCACTTATTTTTCACGGAGGGAAGAAGGGAAATCTGTTTTTAATGCTCTGCCTGGGGAGTCAGGCAGTCTGGATTCTATTCCCAGCTCAGACCTAAACCATTAGGCAAGTCACTCCGTTGCTCTGCTCTTCATCCCGCATTCTTAAATGAGATAACAACATTTTCTTTTATTATTTGGTCCCTTCAAAATACAAATCCTCCACGGCAGAATCGCTTTCTCACTATATATGTCTAACTCCCCTGTGTCTCGAATTTTGTTTGGGTTTTCTAAATGATCCCTCCTTTTACAAGTAACAACGGAAATATTCATCACAGCATTAATTTTTTAAGTCTGAGACCCAAAATAAAGTTCCTAAAACTGCCTAATTAGGGAAGAAGTAGAGACCCGTGCAAAAAGCAAGCAAAGAAAAAGGAGGGAATTCAAAATTACAGGAAAATTATGCTCTCATCATCAAAATTAATCATTTTCAGTTGCAACTTGGTAGTTAGAAGCATCAAAGAGGAGGGGAGCAATTTAGTGTAAATTATATTCTGGCCCTTCAGAACAATAAGGAAACAGATATTTACTTTCAAATCTCTTTTTCCAAGTTCTGCACCTGCTCACCCTTTGTTTCTCAGTTTGTTTAGGTTCTTGAGGTGTGTTTTCCTACTCTGCAGCGAGTTTTGCCTTTGCTAACAATAGCTCTCATTCAGGCCCTCTTTTTCATCCCTCCCTGTTTACACGGATTGCAAACAAACACAAAGTCACGCTCGCCCAGGAGCACATTCTCAGAATTGTCTTCCTTATCTGGTTTTCTTCGGGAGCCATGTCCACTTTTGCTTCATGGCAACCCCTGTAAGACCTTCCTGCCTGCACTGAGAACCTTGTTCAGGGGTTTAGTAGGGATGTTTTTTTCACAGCTGGCACCCTCATTCCCAGCAAAACCCAAGGCAGGGGGGTGGCACCGATGTTCTGGGCCAGGTAGGATTAGCCTTGCAAGGCTTCAGCACAAAGCCCCTTCTACCTCAATAGGATTGAGGCTTTCAGGCAGGAAAAATGGCTCGTGTTGGTCCCTCTGTGTGGGCAGAATATCGGGTCGATGTTGGGGCAAAGAAAATGGGGTCAATCCACATTCACACCCTGGGATCCCCCGGGTTGCAGTCAGACTGACTTCTCTGGAAATCTTCCTGATGAACCAGCTGCTTCCTCACCAGCCCCTCTGTGCCTGAGCAAGGTTCCTGCATCCCAGGGCACGAGCTCCCTATCTTTAGAGACTACAACTTGGAGTAGGGAAGATTTCACTTGAGCCCTCCCACGTAAATTTAAGTGTTATCAACGTGCCTCCATTGCCACCTGTAAAACAGCGACCAGAAACCCACGGGAGATCAGCACATAAAACTGCAGGTACAGCCCAGTGCAGGAACAAGGCACCTGTCCTGCTGGAAACTGATTTTAAAACACAAGCACAACAAATTTTCATTGTCCAATATGGAGCTAGGAGAAGGGCTTTTTTTTGCCTACAAAGCAGTATTTCCTAACAGGATGCTGTGTTTATCCCTCGCTACCCTTGCCTTTCCCTGGGATTTGCAGTTTTATATATGTACAATATATACACTGTACAATGTGTGGTCCCTCCCGCTGCAAAAATTCAATGGCAAAGGAAAAAAAAAATGACAAAAGCTAAAAACAGCCACATAAAAACCAAACACGATTGTCGCATAAAAGTCGTGGTAGTTTGTTCTCTGTAGCAATACAACCATTGGTTCCTCTTCCAAAACTTAGGATACAAACAATACAGCTACAAAAATATAAAGAGCATACAATAAATGCTAAAAATATGTTTCTGGAAAAAAAAAATTTCTTTCTACCTAAAGCAATGAAGAATTTGAAATTATCACATTTTCTAATGAAGGGCTGTACCTCAGGGTAGTTTGGGTGAGTTCTAGCAGAGATTCCAAATTTGCTGTCGTTTTTAGCCATGCTGTTCTGGTCTACATGTCCAGGGTGAGGAAATGGAGGCATGGAAAGGTGGAACTGTTCTTCCAACAGATTAAATCCGGTGTCTACAATTAGAAAGAAGATCTATCTGTCTTCTCAACCTTCCAATTGCCTTTTCACCCGCCCCACAACTAGATAAAAATAAATAAATAAAGAGAGAAAAAATGCCATTTTTGCATAAATGCATACAATATTTTAAACTTGAGAGTAGTGAGAGTGCAGATATTCATGTGATGTGTTCTGCTTAGGAAGTTTCAGGCAGTATGCAAAGGTTGCTTTAGGGTGCAGCATCACTCACTTCCGACAATTAACACCACTGACATTTCACTGCAATTCTAAAGAGTGAGTTCATATCTATCATAGGAAAGTGCAGCTTCTTTTATTTATTTTTACAATATAATTTGAATTTAAACCTTGATTATAAATTCTAACAAACTTTCTCAGCCTTCCTATTGAAGTGAAAGGTGTAATTTTCTCTCTATATGATGTTTTAATGAAAAATTACACTAAATTAACATCAAAACATGTTATGCTATCTTTAAGGCTGTAGAAGAAGTAAAATATATTTAATTCACTGGCAGTAAACCACTGTAATGTGAAGTTGTGAATGAAACAGATTTCTCTACATCTTAGTCACAAGTCAGACTAAACCTGCTTCCTCTCTGAAAGTTGTATTTACTTTGAGTAAATTCATGAATATCTGGAAAATTTTGCTCAACATCCCTGCCATAAATGTTTGGTGAGCCACGTTTTCTTCCTAATCTTCAATATCACAAATGCCTTTGAATTGATACAAATATGCAAATGAAGTTCTAATAAGCCCATGAAAAATTTACATTGCTTATACAGAACTTAAAACAATGGGAAAAAGAGATTTTCTGGAACAAGAGTTCAAAGTAATCCTCTACAGATCAAGAGAGTTTCGAGGGGGAAATATTTCTTCCCCTGTTTTTAGCACAGGCTTTATACCAGCTTTGGGCAATCTCAAAAATTGTTCTTTGACCATAATTTATGCTAAAAATAGTAGAGGAAAACTATGTTCCTTTTTATGTATGGATTCCAGAAATTTGAGAAAGCATTTTAAGAAGGGCAAGTCATATATGGGGGAGGGGGTGGAGAAAGGGAGAGAGGATGGAGCAGTGTGTGGAAGAACTTTGCTGGAGAAATAACTTGAAAAACAAGTTTGGATAAGAAGAATATGATAAAATAAAATAAAATACTCACTGAGTATTTTAAAATCTCGTGCAGTTGAGGTTAACATGAATTTAAGGCCAGATGTAACAGCAAATGCTAGAAACAGAGGAAACCAAAATCCCAGAATGTGATTATGAAAAATCCTAATGGTGTACAGCCCACAGACATGGGGAATTGTTAATACCACTGCAAGAGGACTGTGTAACTGGAATTCCAGGAAAGGAACTGGCAAAAGAGGAAAATAAATCAAAGGCTAAACAAAACCTTTACCTAAAAGAAAAAAATAGAAATTAATCCAGAAGCTGTCAAGGAACTTGGAGAGCGCAATGTACTGAATGAGGCAATGCCACAAGGAAACAAATGTGGGAAGAGATAAGAAAAGTGATGAGAAGGCAATAGGAAAAACGTCAAAGAATGACATAACTGATGAAGTAAAGCAAGAAAACACGGGCAATAGGATGAGACATTTGTCAGTTGTGAGATCATCAGTGAATGCTGCAGATCCTTCACAGATCAAGAAGGAACCTGCCAGGACAAAGGCCCAAAACTTTATAATCAAAAGAAGCAAAGAACATTTCCATTGCTTCACATCTGAGGGTTAGATGGTCACATATATCGTATCGGTTTGATAAAATACCTGAAAAAAGTGGTATTCCTTAATTGCAACATCTTAATGGCAGTCTCTGCATTCTGAATAAATGATTAGTTAATTAAAATCTGAAATACCGAGAGGCAGGGAAATTTTAGCATCTGATTTGGGATGAGGAGGTGATACTGCCATTTTATAAAGCCAGGAACAAACTAAATAACCATCAGGAATATAACAGTTTCTTTGCTGTTTAAAAATAACCCTGTGTACCAGGTGGAAAAACTGTACGAGGTCATTCAAATTTCATGCAGACATACCAGATACTCACCTTTGCTGCTGAAGCCAGAGTGGTTTGTACACTGACACAAGTGACAGATTTTTGTATCCAGCTCCAGAAAATCCACAGTTCAGGGAAGCTTCCTGTTCCCTTCCATTGCAGAGCTCACCTAAACACAATTAGGAATCAGAAATTAAATGTTTGTCCTCTAACTTCTGACGTTTGATTCAGTCATTGGCTTCACCGCCTTGCCCAACACACGCTAACACCATTTAACTTGGTGAAATAAGATGATAGCTGATTATTACAGCCCCCTTTGGACAAAGGAATTACAGATAGTAGACAAAAAAAGACAGTGGAATCAAAAGTAGCTAAGAAAGGTAATGAAAAACACATCTAATTTGCACAACACGAAACTATTTCAAATCACAGAAACCTTTCTTTTTTTTCGTAATTCGTGTTTTATACATTAAGCATAAAAATGGTGGGCTAAATTGAATCCATTAAAGTGTATTATACTATTCTTATTTTTTGTTTTTTACTGGGTGGAACTGTGCCTTGAAATTGCCTTGACACCAGGTGCAGATGACAAGCACATTCAAATTGTCCGGCCTGCCGGTGAAAACAGCACAACCCACGACTTCCAACGCTGCAAACCCAAGGTGTGAGCCTTGAGCTCTGTGCAGTCCTGCTTGTTTTGGCACCGGTAAAGATGCTGAAGACAAAAAACCTCTTTCCTAGAGATACCCACAAGTATTTCCAGCGTGTTCTGATGATCCTGTGATCACATATTTTCCTACATTTATCATCATTTATGCTAGGGAATAAATGCTTATACAGGAGCATGTGATGCTGGTGAAGAGAAACTTAAAGCTGAAAAATCTTAGTAGAGATTTTTAGCCAAGTTATTTAAAAAAAAATAAAAAAAAAAAAGGGTTTGAACACTTCACATCCACAAACTCATTTAAATGCCTGGGCAATTTGCACCAAGTTAAATGTACAAAATCAATATGTTACTGCATAATAGTACATACAAAGAATGAAAGTAATAAGCTCATATTTGCTCCCACATGCTCTAGATGGGAAACTGAACCAAGATAACGTAAAAAGCCACATTACATTTGCAAACTGAATCACACAGACTTAATTGTATTACAATGGGTGCAATAAATAAACCCCACATATTATCTAATTTCCTAGTAAGCTTCAGTGTGCAATAATGAAATAAAATGCTAAGACAACCATTCCTTTGGTTTCTGTAAGAAATCCAATTCCAAGACTCCCATTAGCAATTTCAGGACCTTTCTTCAGTCTACTGTCTCAGCAAGAACAGTTGTTCCTGTAAGAGTAACTCTAATCAGCCTACTGGGTAAGTTAAAAAGTGTATTTTTCTGTATCCCTTTTCTATCCTCAAAGTCTCACAGGTTCAAAATGCTTGATTTTGTTGTGTTTTTTTGGTTTTGGTTTTTTTTTTAAATCAGTCAAATGCACCACTTGCAAACTTAAGGCTATCAGCAGAGGATCTGCCCACTACCTATTGAGGAGACCTTTTTTGCTTTGCACTGCAGGGATCACAAAATCAGTTGGAAGAGACCTTCAAGATCATCCAGTCCAACCACCAACCTAATCCAGCTCCACCATAAAATAAAATTGTACCACCTACAAGAAACTTGAAAGGCATTTTCCTGTAATGCATACCATAATGCCTTTAATTGCTTTTAGTTTAGCTTAAAAAATTAATCATTTTTATCTCGAATGGCACTTAATGAACTGTCCCTGCATCTCGCACTAAACATAACCAAATTTTAAACATTTGGTCAATTTTCCTCGTGAAGAATGTGCTGCAATTACTATCAGATGGCTTAAGATTCTTTTTTGTCTATACATCTGAACTTCTAAATGTGGCCTCCAACAAACACCAGGTTCCCTAGCAATGGCTTGATATGAACCTCTCTGGTGAGTCCAAGATTTAGGACAAGGCTATCAATGCCTCTGAGGTTTTGACCATATAATATTAGATTATTTTCTTTTTTTTTTTTCAGCAGAAATATAATTTAGATGTCTGGTTAGAAAGAAATACGTCTGTATGTGCTGAATGGGATCTGGTTGCAGACAAAATCTGCTTTTAAAAAAAAAAAAAAAAATCCAGTATACTATAACGCTTACTTAGGTGTGTCCCACAGGGAAAACAGAGCAATACAAGACATTGTTTTCTTATCCTTAGGTTTACATCTGAAATAAACCCACAGAAATGCTCTCGTATTCATTGTGCCATTGTATCTCTACTAGATCAGATAAAGAGGGTGTGTTCTTTGCTCCCTTTGAAGTTCTTTCCCTCCCTTCAGTGATAGCGGGATTTGAGCTGCTGTATTTAAACATCTATTATTATGCTGTATTTAAGCATCTAAACAAAAAGCTGGAAGGGCATTGTGTGTGGTTTATGCAGTAATATCCACCCTCCATTTAAAAGCACGAGATATCTTGTTCTGTTATGAAAGCACGTGAATTATTAGAATGATCACTGAAAAGCTCCCAGTCATAGATCTTTACCACCAGACTACATTGTTTCTTATCAGCAGTTATTTTTCCTGTCCCATGGGAACACTGTTTGAAACTCCAACAACTGGCCATTGAGTAACTAGTGTTCTTTAGGGGTTTTTATGATACATTAGAATTCCTATTCTTCCTGAAGGCGTTAAAATGTTGCCGAGACACAGCAGCCTGGAAAAAACCCAAACCAAACCAAAACAAAGCTTGATTTATTTTACTAAAGAAAAGGCAAAGTGGCTCAATGAGTTATCTAAGCCTGGTATCAACTGATTCTGAAGGGTATTTAAAAAATATAACACAAGTCTGGCCAAAAATTAACGGGTGGGAACTCACTCATTTCACAAATATAAGGAAATGAACTACTTTGCTGTACACTTCCTACAGTTCCCCCTTTCTTTCTCGGTGCCATTTGTGTCTCCACCTCCTGCACCATTGCCTGAAGTGACTTTCCTATCTCTGCACATGCATTCTGGTTTTAAATCCAGTGATGGAAAAATTGGAGGGCTCACCTGTCAGGATGAGGGAAAAAGTTGTTGCACATGCAGGTGAATAACAGTGGGGGAACTGTTCCCTGACCAAAGCAAACTCAGATGTTCTGTCAGATCTGCTTCTGAACAGCACAGAGTCTCAGTGTGCACAAAGTAATCTCACAAAACCCTCAACAAATTCCAATTTCATTTAATGAAAATTCAAGTGAAAGTCCTAAGTGTTCAGAATGTCTCTGCTGTCCAAATTGCACTCCAGGATTTTGGGATTTCTTGTATTTAAGATGGGTTTTTACACACTAATGGGACAATTCATAAATGTATAAAAATTCATAAGTATAACTGCATATATATATATATATACACTCTCCTGTTATGAAATGTGTCAGAGATAATTATGTTTATTTTCTTTAATAATCTTTATAAAGGTAATTTGAAATAGGTTTGGGCTCCCAAAGCGTTGGAAATGCTGCACTTTGACTATGAGCATGTAAGTACACTCCAAATACAGCTCTCTAGCACTGTCAAAGGAAGGAGGAAAGGAGAGAAGATCTTCTTTGACAATTATAAAACTAACCAATTAATCAAGGGTTGGGCTCAATAACCTTGGAAGTCTTTTCCCACCCGGCCAATTCTATGATTGAATAAAAACTATTTCAAAAAAATAGTAAACTATAACCTACTCTGGAGTGCTTAGGCAGCCAAACAAATTATTCACAAACCCAAAGAAAAATCTTTACACGGTTTGAGATAATATGAAACAGCACCAGTGCCCATTTTGTATTACCTGTGTTTATTGTAACCAGAGGAATGGTTATGCTCGTGATAAGGAAACCAGAGGTAGCTCTCTGGGTTTGCTCCTCATCTGACTTGGACTTGTGTAAGCAGAAATAAATGGAATACACCTCTCCTATTTTAGGACCGTGAAGTCTCTAAATCACATGTTCATCACATCTCAGGCTGTGGGTTCTATTTTAATGCCAAGTAAGATCTCTCTTAGTTAATGATTACACAGACATCTCAGGAAAGGGAGTGTTGAGGTGGGGGGGAAATAAAATCTTTTTTCCCCCTCCCATTTCCACTGATATATTGGAAAATAATTGCTGTAAAATAATAATTGCTGGGAAACAATCCGCTGTGCCAGAGCTGTGCCTGCGAGCAGGGCATCTGTGGTGGCCTGCTGGTGTCACTGCACAACGATGGGCAATACACAGGGCTGGGTCTCTGTGCCAGCTTTGCATGTTATTTTGATTTCTCTTCACCTTTCACAGTTTTACGTGGGGCCCGAGCATAACGAGCCGCTCCACCCGAGCCGGGTATTTCCTGGTAATTAATTAATGGCAGTTAAGGGGTTTTAGATTTGCTGTTGGCACTCAACTCAATGAATTGTCAACCGTCAGGAAACACCCTCCCTACTTATCCTATCTGCCAAATTGCTAATTAAGCATCCCATAGCCAAAAGCAAACAACATTTTTATGCTCTTAGTTTCATCCATTTCAATTACATTAATAAATTAGATCTTCTAGTGCCTAAAATCTGAACAATGGGCAATTTGCATTGTATAGCAGTGACCACTTTTATTGCTGGAAAGAGACTACAAAATAACAATGAAAAAGATAATTGAAGTAATAAGAGACAGGCAACTCTGCCTACAAACCCTGTCCTTATTACATCACTATAACTATTGAGTAGGGGTATATAAAATATAATATAAATGTTGCTTGTATCCAGCTTCTCATGATAATTTTACAACTGAGTTCAAAAGCTGAAAAGACAAAAATTTAACTGAAAACATTCATGTATTTGATCTGTATTTGCTAGAGACGAAGAAAGGCATAAAGGAAACGAGCGAGAAGAAAGGGGGGGAGGAAACAAGAGAAGGAGTGGGGGGAAAGTGTTGAAATGGGTCTCATTTTGAGGGACTTACAAAACCACTTTAAAAGATGAGAGCAAAGCGTTGCTGTTTACCTTCCACCTTACAGTTCTGAGATCGAATGGCACAGCCAGGGCATTTGGGACTTTGGTTCGATGCCTCTTTGTGCATGAGTCAGAACAAATGTTTTAATAAAAGAATCCTCTTCATCTCTTGGTCTCCTACAGGAGATTCTTATACTCTACAGCACATATTAAAAACAAACAAATAAACAAACAAACAGTCTTTCAGGAATTATTCTATTTTAGATAAAATGCAAAAGCATTAATTACACCAAAGAATGAAAGCATGAGCACTAATGCAGACACTGAGTCTCAAGCACCCCAGCCATCCCATCAACCACTTATTTACAATGTTGTAGACAAAAGGGAGTGTCCTGGACTGCTGGGTTTTAAGCAGCCTCTTTTTATTGCAGCTGGTTGAAATGGGCATTAAAAAATATACAAGTTTAGCAAAACATTAGCATTTTGTGGGAAATAAATCTGCCTCTTTTGTCACACATTCAAATAAATTGCTTTCATAAAAATAAAATCGGTCTGTGTGTGAGCTGAGTAAATAAATCACATTCCTACAGCCCAATCACTTAAAGAAAATTAATCCCAGGTCTCACTGTTGCAAATATCCAACCCACTCCATTTAGGCTGTGTGCTTATGTCTTCTGCAGACATCAAACATAGTTTTGATTCTGAAAAGGGATTGCCCAGGAGATGGGCTCAGCCATGCTAGGGATTGGGTAAGAAAATACTCAAAATTTCTTTTGACTTTCTTATTGCCCTTCAGTGTCTTTCACAAGTGTGGGACTCCTGGAAGCATTTGGCATGGAAAGCATCACTGCCAATTACTACCTTACATCATCAGAAGCAGCCAGAGCAAGAACAATGGGAGCAGTTTCCAGGAATGGTGAGGAAGGCTTTGTTTTGATTATCCCTCGGTGCAGTGATTACCACTGCGCAGCACCTCGAGCAGTAGGTAATTACTCATTTTTAACCTCTGTTTCTACAGTGTCATTACAAGAAATGAAGCTTTCACCTCCTTAAAAGAGACACTGGCTCTTGCTTCAGCATAAACTTGACTTACAGCAAATCACGTGTTTTAAGAGAGGTTAAAGAAAGAGGTGCGTTTCTCACATTCTTTTTGCACAAATGAGAAAGAATTCGATTTATCAAACGTTACTTAGTTCCTTGAGTCACCTAGCACTTCAACAAGTGAGATCTCCTGCTAGAAAAATGAGACATTTTTATTAGATTGCTTTAATTAACTGTAAAAAAATACTTTCTAAGCACAACTCACGTGTTGGTTACGTGCTTAATTAGCAGGAGGCTGCATCAGTTCCTAGGGAGTCACTGACAGACCTTGAACTGACAGCACTTAATGAAGCAAAGTTTTTGTTGTTGTTAATCAAGTTTAATAGGTTTTTTGAGTGGCAAAAGAAGAATTGAAGGGCTGACAGAACATACAATCCATTTCTTTTAAATAATTTTCTTTTCATCTTTTCAGACAGACTTTCAAAAGCTGTTGACAAGGGACTTGCTACGTTTCATCTGGAATAGAATTAAAACTTCCCTTTAACTTCAGTAGCAGCGCATTTCTATTAACCCCAGGTTCCCTCCAAAATTCTTCCTGTAATTTTATATTTGTGCTTGAGCTACAAGTCAAACAACATCTTGCAGCTGCTGTAACAAAACTTCTGAGGCAGTGGAATTGAATCTTTTGGGCCCAGCGGGTCACATAAGAGCCACTGTGATGTTCAGAAACTAAGTTGTTACATACGACACACCAATATTGAACAATTTTGCACTGTGAAGGCTAACAGGCACAAATGTTAGGTTGGACTGGGGTTACTTATCCTGTTAAAATGAATCTTCTGAGAAACTTAAAAAACATGGTCCATCCCTGAGTAACTGAACCACAGAAAAATGCTCATTTCAGCACTACTTATTGGTGTTCAGAAGTCTGCATTTATTTACTTGTTTTTAAGAAAATGAAGAAACGTGTCCTTCTAGATAAGAAGATTCCCTTTGAATTCATTTTGGGAAAAATCAAAACTTACCTTTTTTAATGCACACTGAGCAGCAAAGCTTCATTCAAAGCAATTTTACAATTAGGGACCCTCACTCCTCATGTTATTATGATTCAAGGCATTGTGGGGATTAGCAAGTGGAGCCACACAGAATAAATCAAGTGACTGCATCACTCTGTCACATGACCACTGTCCTTCTACTTCAATCCCAAGACTGTTCAGATTTACAGCAGCAGCCAAAGGCTCAAAAGAACTGAAACTGCGCAAAAAGGGCATGAAACATCCAAATTCCTTCTGCAGATGAGCTAGGCGAGCAAGAGGAGATACAGAAAGGAATCGCCACTGGTGATGTACAAACAAGTGGAATTCTATGGAGAGGAATGACCACTGGTGAGGTATAAACAAGTGCAGTTTGTCTCAGAGACGTGGATACCAAAAAAAAGAGGGCATTTAGCTCCAAGAATCTTCTAATTTACATCGAGGGGCCTGGTGCCACACGGGCCAGGTTACACAACTCCCGGCCAGCCGTGCCTCACATCCGGCCCGCTCGGAATACGGCGAGAACGGATCCGTAACAACGTGTTCTCGTGCTCTTGCAGGGAGACACACTCGGTGTTTTCTCAAAACAACCGCTGCAACTTCCACCACATCTTTCATTTTTGGCTCTGAACCTGAGAGGAAGGTGGTTTCAGACGGGAAGGAAGTAGTTTTGACGAGCAATAATCCATTTCGTCATCAATAAAGGATCACAGTACTTGTTGAACTACTTGAGCATCAGCTGAAAGTTCGCAAAGGAAACTTGTGAGTCAAACATTAAACAAACCCAACAATCAAAATAACTCATCTATTCAAGGGCGTCTAAGGGTGGTAAAGCACCTCAAAATGCATATGTGTATATTTTCAATTCAGTTTATTGCCCATAGCATAAGTTTAACGCATGATCTAATTTGTGGCTGCACTAAACACGTGTAAGTCCAAAGCCACTACACCTGCATGATTTTTAGAGAGTCAGAAACACACAAAGTCAGAATAGAGTGGGACTGAAACCCTCTGAAATAAAGATAGATATTCACACTTTCTTTTTTTTATGAAACAGCCACACCAAATATAAAACACGTGTCAAAGAAGAATCATTCAAGAGTAGAATTCATGAAGGTGCTGGAAGGCTGGAAAAACAGTCTACAGCACTGAGCCAAATATTATATGGTAAAAAAGTAAAAGTCTACACATACACACCAACTTCTTTGCAGAAAAATGTCCTCATGTTTCCAACCTTTCCAGGAGGTAACTTAAAAACACAGTCCCAGGTCTTTTGGGTTGGCCTGTCCAATGCAAAGGACTCCGAGGTCAGAGAAACAAGCTGCAATTGAAAAGGGTGTAATGAGGTAAGGTCGTGAAAAATGAATAGGAACGTGACCCAGGGCTACAGAGCAGGGAGGTACAAAAACAAACGGGGTGGGAAGGCGCCAGCCAGCAGCTTCCCTATCTAATCAGCTGCAGCTCTGATAAAGGAGGAAGTAAGCTAAGGGAGGGAGTCTCCAGCACTTAACACAATCCCCAAGACTCCATTTCTGCCCTGGTAATGGAGTGTCTTTAGGATGCAGGCCAAGAGAATAACCAAAAGGAAGCTCAGCGGTCACTCATTGTCAGCTACATATTTGTTTATGGATAGTAATGAGCTGTTTGAGCTGAGGACAGCAGATACTGCTTTTCACAGGTTGTTAGCACTGCCAACACCACGGGTGTACTGCAGTCTGTGCAGCACACAGCAATCAACACAAACCAACACAACACACCTCCACCATGGCAAGACCGTGAGGGGTGCAGAGCACCCAGTCCTGTGCTGGCTACTCCGATGCACCTGCAGGTTTTTCTTTTCCCCAAAATGAATTCAAGCATATATGCCAGTCAGCACTTTCATGTAGAGTTCTAGGATAATTTCAAACTTTGCTTCTGTTAATCGCAGCATTACCTTCACATGGTGGTTGCAAAGGTGAACCTTCTTATCTAGAAAGACACTTTTCTCTCTTTTCTTAAAAAATGTAGATGAATGCAGACTTTCATGCTTCAGTTCTCCTTAAGCATCCCACTGACATTCCAAACACACTGTCCTGATCCCTCACCTTTGGTAACAGTAAGACACTCACTGTGTTCTAGGAGAAATCTGACCAAATCTGAGTTTTGAAGAAGTAATGTTTCTTCAGATTTCTGCAAACCACAGGAAGAGATTTCAGATTTAACCAACTTAAGGGTTCTGACTCATGAACATAGTTTATTGCAGCTACAAAGTTTAACTAAGACCTGCCATGCACCCTGCATGAGGATGCACAGGCTACAGAGGCCTACGAGAACCAGCTCCACATTTGCTATTGTCTGTGGACTAGCACTTAATGCAAACTGATCATGATATAATTCCACAGTTGACCACTGTGTAGTTTTACTTTTGTCACAAGAAAAAAGTTACTTCAGACAGAAGAAGAAAGAGCAAGTCTTGAACTGTAGAGACAAGGCAATGGAGAAAGCATTATTTATGTCATAAGCTATTTCACTGTCCCTTGCTGTCCCTAATTTGCACTTAATTTCACTATTACCTTTTCCCTGTAATCAGGTACCAGATGCTGAGTTTTGCTACACTTTCCTCCATTATTTCAGAATGTCTTTACTCTCTCATGTTCCAGACAACCCATGACGTTATTACTTGGACAGTGTAACCCCAAGATAGCTTCTTTTGCCTTCCCTGGGCTTTCAGCAGCAAGCATAATAAATATTCTTCAAAGGATGGCAAAGGCCTTCAAGATCATTTCTTATGGCAAATATAATGCCATGAACAGCCTGATCTACATAAGGATGCCTTTGTGCAATTAAGGAGCAGTGCTTGTAGAGTGCTTCCATTCAAAAAGGAGCACTGAATGACAGCACAAGTCTGGATATTTCCAAGACTGAATCCCCCCTGCTCACAAACATCTTTGCTTTTTCTGTATAAGACCTGTTTTAATATTAATTATCCCTTTCAATTTTGCTCATGAATCTGAAAATTTGTGACCTAATTACAGGCACTGTTGCTGAGTGTTAGTTTCTGAACTAGCTGTGTAGTTTGTGAGAGGTTGACTTCTACTGTCAGAGTGTAAGTTGTTTCATTTCTTGTATGGGGGAGGCACGGCTTTCTATTGCCTGTAGAAATTAAACAGGATTAATAAATAAAATGGCACAGGTAGTTGAGCTAGAAACCTCTGAGAAAAGGAGAGCAGTGAAAAAGTAGGTTCCATCTGTGTCCTCAGCCTTCTCTTCATTGTAAAGAGAGATCTTTGCCAGGGTCCTGTGGATATTACCTGGCTGGTTCTGAAGAGGAACAATCACCAGTTGTTTTCCATCTCTCATAGTGATCCTCCTCTACCAAAGATGTTGGAATTCAACACCTTAGGCTGACCTGTTTCCCACCCGAGGAGACAGGATCACTCGGTGGAGCAGGCAGCAGTCTGATGTATATCTGATATAATCAGACATAAATAATCTTTTCTAGCTGTGTCACCTCCAGGATCTCTGCCTCGAGAAACTAAAGGTGACCACAAAAGAAAAAAGGGAGCTTGCAAACAAGCACACCTCTGTCCAAATGGCCCTTCTGCCTACAGGGATTCCCCAGGGAGGCTCCAGATTTCTGCTGGAGAATTCATTCATAAGCACTTTTAGTGCTTTGCTGCATTGATTTTGAACAGCACCCCAGAGCAGAACTGCAACATATTGGAAACAATTGCTTTGGCTTTGAGTCAATAATTAATGAGAAAAGTGAGCTGTTTATATTGAGATATCTTGCTTGCATAAGACAAGCTGCTTCACCACAGCCAGAATTCATTAGTCATTATTAAAGCTGGTATACAAAAAATTACAGGCTCCAGCTTCCCAGGATTAGATAGTCTGACAAAGCTTTAAAGCAAAGTAGCTCATTTATTTGCATGCAAAGCAAGCAGCATGGTCATGATCACTGATTTGAAAAAGGCTAATATATTTACCCCTTCAGCATCTAGAAGCAAAACTGATTGGAAAAAAAGAATTTAAATATTGCAAAATTAATGAGAATGGTGATTAAACTGAATATTCCACTAAGTTCCAGATTATGTTCACATCCCAATAAGTGTCTCCTGTTTTAGGCTGAGATGAGTTCTGTGGTTTGCTTGTCTCTGTGTGACCAATCATTATCATTTTATAGTCAAGGGTAAAAAATCTGTTTTGAAAAAACAACCAACCAAATACGTTTCCCCACTCTAAAATGACTCAAAAGATGCTAGAACAACAACAAAACCAAAATCCAGGCAGAAAAAAAAAGCTTCAAAAGTCTTGATACGATAAATAAAAAAGTTGGGAAAAGAACTAAATAAATAATTTTATTTCTAAGTTATTTCTAAATCTCGGTCTGAATTTTGATAAATCTTGTTTTAAATGTTTCCCTAAAGTAAACATGAAGGCAATATTCATGCATTATCAGGCTGCATTTGTGGCTGATTAGCCCAGCATTTCTTTCTCTTTGAACAAACGAGGCCCTCCTTTCACAGAGAGGATTATGATCTGGGAATTATCTTGGGAAAGGCTTGCTCATATGTTTTTATTTGTTGCTACAGTCGCTTTTATTTACTTTCCTTTGCCTTCCCAGCCAAATAACTGACTGCCTTTGTGCTCTCGGGACTGTTTCACAACTCAGAACACCCCAATATACTTCAACAGCAGCACTTTTTTTTTCCCCTTTCTTCATATTATAGGAAAAGGAGGAGTCCTAATATTCCTTAGGAACAAAAAAGAAGTTTCACAATTCAGAAAAGGAAATTTCAGACTGCAATGACATGTCTATACACGTGAGGTTTATGTCTATAAATGACATGTCCACACACACAGGGCGAAGTCTCCACTGCTCTTATTCTGATGCCGTTATTTCAAAGAGGATGGAAACCTCCCATGAAATAACAGCTTCTTTCTATGAAACAGGATTCCTGGAAAGTGAAAATCAGGCAGGCAGGAACAGCTCAGCTATAATTTGCAAACTCCAAACACATGGCATAAGTGAGCCCACATGCTGGAAAGCCTCTCCAACTCTGCTTGGGCAAGGGGAGGGACGGGCAG